TCAGGTGCCAGGGTTATCTCTATGATCCCCTGCATTCTCTCAATCATCATTCCTTTCCTTTATTAACTTCTCTACTCAACCATGAGTCCACACATTATTATTTCAGGAACACCATGTCCAGTATCATTAATGCATTCTTCTTTGGCTTTTCATGTCTTCGATGAAACATGACACATGTCTCCTTATGTATCATTCGAGAAATAAGATTAGTACCAGATTAACTCAGTGATCTGCACTTCTGTGCTTGCATCCAACAGTGCAAGGTGACATTGGATCTGCTCTAAATGTACAATAAGCAACAGCAAATGGACCTTTTTCATTTCTGCATGTTTTGTTCAACTCCCACTCCTATTTTCTGAAAATATGTTTTCAATATCTGTTCTTCATAATCCTCCAACTTTTCTACCTTTTTCATTGCTCTCAGAGGTTATATTTTCAAGAGAAAATAGCAACTAGTATATAACATTGGGATCTCTCATCTCCCCTTTTCCAAATATACGTATCTGCCTACATCTGTATCTAATTAATTCTCCTTTCCTCCTGTTTAACAGAGGAGCTGTTTTCATCCTCCCTAACACTAGCATATTCACTTGCATTTTAGATTTGTATGCCATCTCTACCTCTGTCTCCCTTCCTGCCCCACCATTATATATGGGAATGGCTTGTACCTATCACTGAACTAATTATTCTTGCTAAGATCAACTATAGCCCCCGTGTCTCTAAATTCAATGGGCATTTCCAGGCCTCCTCTTACTTAACCTTCCTGTGACATTTCTCACTGTGGATCATTTCTTACCCTTGACTTTCTAAACACAATCCTTTCCTGCTTTCTTTCTACCTCTTTATTGACTTATCTTTGCGGGATGCTTCTTCTTTCTTTTGACATTAAATACCAGAATTCTTCAGTGCTTGATGCCATTTTTTCCTTCAGTACCATGATCTTATGCTTTCTCTTTATGTCTGTGGCTTCCATTACTATCTGTATGCAGATGACCCACAAATGTTCAACTTTAGCACACCTCAGACTCATATTTCTCTTTGACAGTAAAAGACTGATCTCTAAAAAATACCTCAGGCTCATTAAGTCAAAATGGAATTCTTTTTAAAAATCCAATTCTCCTCAAACCTGGTTCTTTTAAAGCATAATCTGTTTCCATGAGTTTTGCCCTCTCACCTTCAGAAAGTTCACACTTGCATTGCAGTGGGCCATCTCTCCAAGCCTTCTCTGATGTTTCCCCCAATAAATTGATTGCACAATTAATTCCATCTTATTATCTGTTTTTTGCACTAACATACAAGGCAAACAGAAACCTTAACTGGAGGATGAAGTAACGAAGACATAGCTAATACTATAATAGATCTCATTGATATCACTACCTTTGTTTTTAAAAATTATTTGTTTATTTTTGAGACAGTCTCACTGCATTGTCCAGGCTGGAGTGCAGTGGTACAATCTTGGCTTACTGCAGCTCTGCCTTCTGGGTTCAAGCAATTCTCCTGCCTCAACCTCCAGAGTAGCTGGGATTACAGGTGCATACCACCACAACTGGCTAATTTTTAATTTTTAGTAGAGATGGGGTTTTGACATGTTGTCTCAAACTCCTGATCTCAAGTGATCCTCCTGCCTTGGCCTCTCAGAGTGCTGGGATTAGAGGTATGAGCCACCATGTTCAGCCAGTACCTTTATTTTTATAGGCAAGGAATGTTGAGGCTTAGAAATCCTGAATTGGGATGGAAATGAACAAGATCTATCATTTTCAAAATCTGTAAGCATAGGCTCTGTTACACTGCCTCACCTGTTTCACAGGTGGTAAATGTAGTCAGTTTTTTTAGAGGTATTTAGTATATCTATTTCATATATGTTTTTAGACATTTTCAAAGATTAATTTAAATATGAACTTTAATGACATGTGACATATGCAAAGAAACTGTACAGATGATAAGTGTCCAGCTCAACAAATTTTCACAAAACAAACACAACTGTGTTATGATTCCTTACAACAACATGTAAACAACCAGCACTGAAAATCATCATTGATCTTCCCTTCACGTCATCACCACTGCTTCCTTTCTACCATCCTGACTTCTAACATTAAAGGCTAATTTCTAATTTACTTTCACAACGTAGCTCAAATCCATTTTCTAAAAATAGATTCACTGTGCCCCAGAAAAATAGATATATGTACCTATAGCAATCCACCATGAAGACCTCAGAACCCGTTTTGTTCACTATTTCAGTGCTGGAGTCAAGCAAGTTCTTTTCCCTACTCTGATCTGGTAATACTTTGTAGGACAGACATGACATCTTTGCCAGAAATTGGGCATGTTCATTCTGGTATGCCAACTTGGAAAAGTTCATTAATATCTTTAAGATTCATTTGTCTCATCTCTAAAATGAGAACAATAATATTACACTCTTAAGATTTCCATCATCTTGGAATATGTTAACACATACAAAAATCATATTACGGTGTTTAGAAAACAGCATAACTTCAATTAATGCTAGTTTGTGGGAGTTATTTTGAGAAATGGAGTCTTGCTCTGTCACCCAGGCTGTAGTGCAGTGGCACAATCATGGCTCACCTCCTAGGCTCAAGCAATCCTTCCACCTCAGCCTTCAGAGTAGCTGGGACTACAGGAATGTGCTACCACACCTAGCTAATTTTTTCAAAAGGTTTTGGTAGAGATAGGGTCTCACTATGTTGCCTAGGCTGGTCTCAAACTCCTGGCCTCAAGTGATCCTCCCTCCTTGGCCTCCCCAAATTCTGGGATTACAGGCATGAGCCACTGTGCCTGGAACAGGAGTTATCATTAGTAGTACTATATGCAGAATTTCATACCAAAATCTTTCAGAGGCAGTGTACTTAGTGACTTCCTGTACAACTTTTGGCAAATGACTTAACTCTTGAGTGTTTAAGTTTTTGTTTTGTTTTGTTTTGTTTTGTTTTGTTTTTAAAGAATAATAAGAAAAAGAATAAAGAAGAGGAAGAAAGAGAAAGAGGAAGAGGGAGAGAGAATGGGGGTATTGCTTTATTGCCCGGGCTAGAATGCAGTCTAAATATGGGTATGCCTATAATTGTCCTTAATAATGGAGACATAAAAGAAAATGAGGGAAGAGAATAACAAACAAGGAGCCAACCAACATTTCGTTTAAACTTCTAAGTTGATATGATGTGGTACTGATAAGATTGTATATTTTGTGTATTTAAAGTGGAGAGTTCTATAAATGTTAATTACGTTTACTTGTTCCAGATCTGAGTTCAAGTCCTGGATATCGTTAATTTTCTGTCTCATTGATCTGTCTAATGTTAAGGTTGAAGTCTCCCACTATTATTGTGTGGGAGTCTAAGTGTCTTTATAAGTCTTGTATGTCTGGGTTTTCCTGTATCGGGTGCGTATATATTTAGGATCTTTAACTCTTCTTGTTGTTGCGTTGATTCTTTTATCATTATATAATGTCCTTCTTTGCTTCTTTTGATCTTTGTTGCTTTAAAGACTATTTTATCAGAGGCAAAAATTGTAACTTCTGCTTTTTATTTATTTATTTTTGCTCTCTGTTTGGTTGGTCAATCTTTCGCCATCCCTTGTTTTGAGTCTTTGTGTATCCTTGAATGTGAGATGGGTCTGGATGCAGCATACTGATGGGATTTAGTTTTTTTGTCCAAATTGCCTGTCTTTGAATTGGGGAATTGAGTCAACTTAAATTTAGAATTAATAATGATATATGTGAGTTTAATACTGCCATTTAATATTAGCTGGCTATGTTGCCCATTAGTTGATGTAAATTCTTCATTATATTGATGTTCTTTACTTTTTGGTATTTTTTTAGAAAGGCTGATACTGTTTGTTCCTTTCTATGTGTAGTGGTTCTTTCAGAAGCTCTTGTAAAGCAGGCCTGGTGGTGATGAATTCTCTGAATGCTTGCTTGTTCACAAAAAACTTTATTTTTCCTTCACTTATGAAGCTTAGTTTGGCTGGATGTGAAATTCTTGGTTGAAAGTTCTTTTCTTTAAGGATGCTGAATATTGGTCCCCAGTCTCTTCTGGCTTGTAGGGTTTCTGCTGAGAGAGCTGCTGTAAGTCTAATAGGCTTCCCTTTGTGGGTAACCTGACCTTTCTCTCTGGCTGCCCTTAGTATTTTCTCCTTCATTTCAACCCTGGTGAATCTGACGATTATGTGCCTTGGAGTTGCTCTTCTTGAGGAATATCTTTGTGGTGTTCTCTGTATTACCTACAGTTGAATATTATCCTGCCTTACTAAGTTGGGAAAATTTTCCTGAATAATATCCTGAAGTGTATTTTCCAGCTTGGATTCATTCTCTTCGTCACATTCAGATACACCTATCAAGCGAAGATTAGGTTTTTTCACATAGTCCCATATTTCTTGGAGACTTTGCTCATTCCTTTTTATCCTTTTTTCTCTAATCTTGTCTTCTTGTTTTATTTCATTGAGTTGGTCTTTGACCTCTGATATCCTTTCTTCTGCTTGATCAATTCGGGTGTTAAAACTTGTGCATACTTCATGTAGTTCTCGTATTGTGTTTTTCAGCTCCATCAATTCACTTATTTTCCTCTCTAAATTGTGTATTCTTGTTGACATTTCGTCAAACCTTTTTTCAAAGTTCTTAGTTTCTTTAGATTGTGTTAGAACAAGTTCTTTTAATTCACAGAAGTTTCTTATTATCCACATTTTGAAGCCTGCTTCTGTAATTGGAACACACTTGTTCTCCATCAAGCCTTGTTTCGTTGCTGATGAGGAACTGTGGTCCCCTGCTAAGGGAGAGGCATTCTGATCTTGAGTATTCTCAGCCTTTTTTGACAGTTTTCTTCCCTTCGTTGTAGATTTATCCATCTATGGTCTTTATAATTACCGTCTTTGTAATTGGGTTTCTGAGTGGACGTCCAAATTATTGATTCTCAGCGCCGAAATCTGAGCAACCCACTGCGCCGACCAAATCAGCGGCGTTAAGATTGATGGTGCTTTTCTGACTCTGCACCAAGAACCGATGCTCCAAGGCGCTGGCAAAACTGCCTCGCCGGTCACAAGAGTTGCGCTGGCGACCCGTGGGGCTCCTCCGCTGGGAATCTCCTGGTATGTGAGCAATAAGAATTCATGTGAAGGTGTGGCGTCCTCTCATTCTTTGCGTTTTCACTGGGAGCTACAATCCTGAGCTGCTAGTGTTCAGCCATCTTGGATCTCTCTCCCAAGTTTTGCTTCTTTTCTAAGGATGCAAGAGGTAAGTAAGAATTAATGAGGCAAAGCTGGAAAGGACAGTGGGAAGGCCAAGGCTAAGGCAGTTTCTCGCTCACAGAGAGCTGGGCTACAGTTTCCTGTGGGCCGCATCCACAGACACTTGAAGACTCGCACCACAAGCCATGGAAGGGTGGGTGCCACTGCTGCCGTGTACAGTGCTGCGATTCTGGAGTACCTCACCGCTGAGGTACTGGAGCTGGCAGGTAATGCTTCTAAGGATCTCAAAGTAAAGCGTATCACTCCGCGTCACTTGCAGCTTGCAATCCGTGGTGATGAAGAGTTGGATTCTCTTATCAAGGCTACCATAGCTGGGGGTGGTGTGATCCCTCACATCCACAAATCTCTGATTGGAAAGAAGGGACAGCAGAAAACTGCTTAGAGGGTTGTTTTAACCAACCCTCTTCCTCCCCGTCATTGTACTGTAACTGGGACAGAAGAAATAATATGTGGAATTTTTAACAACAGTTAAATGGAAAAGCATAGACAATTACTGTAGACATGATAAAGGAAACATTTGTATGTTCTTAGACTCGAAGTTTGATAAAAGTACCTTTTCATGTGGTGACAGTGTGTGTGTTGATTGGCTAGGTTTCTCCGATGTTTTATACAAAAATGGAATTGATAAACCATTTTTTACAAAAAAAAAAAAAAAAAAAAAAAAAAAAAAAAGAATTAATGAGTTGTTTTTGAAAGTATTGAGCTCCACAGATGAGAAAATGAAAGATGCTTTTTAAGTATGTAAAATAGCTTTTTGTTTGAAAGCACAGCAGTTAAAAGACTGGTATCCTCACTATCCTCTTGAGAGATGGTCTTTTTGAAAGCGTTAATGTCATATTTACTTTTGAAATCCTTCAATAATATTTGGATTAGATTCTAATATAAAAACTATCTTCATTGTAGAAAGATATTTAGAAGAAATATATAGAAAAAATAATCTAAAATTAGTTTGTTCTGATGGAATGAGGCAATGAGGTTAATAATCACCAAGGCACAAATATACATATATGGCTAGTTATAAAAGGGAAGGTTTGGGAGGCACGGAAGAGTAAGGAATCCTGGAATTCAGTTCCTTCTTTTCTGTTATCTAGTAGTATGACCTTGGGCAAGTCATCTTACTTTTTTAGGGCCCCATTGCCTTGCCTGTTAAATGAAGTTTTTAATCTCAGTAACTTCTCAATTCTCAGTGCTTCTAGTGGCCATATCACTTTTTATAATATCTTCCAATGAAATTTTATTTTATTTGGTAATTATTTTATTTTAGATTCTGGGGGGTACACATGCAGGTTTGTTATATAGATATATTGTATGATGCTGAGATTTGGGATACAAATGATCCTGACATCCAGGTAGTGAGCATAGTACCCAACAGTAAAATTTTCAGCTTTTGCTCCCACTTCCCCTTCTGGTGGTCCTCAGTGTCTATTGTTGCCATCTTTATGTCCATGTGTCCTCAGTGTTTAGCTCCTGTGTATAAGTGATAACATGAGATATTTGGTTTTCTGTTCCTGTGTTAATTCACTTAGGATAATGGCCTCCAGCTGCATCCATGTTGCTGTATAGGATATAATTTCATTCATTTTTATGATAGCATAATATTCCATGGTATATATATGTTACATTTTCTTTTTCTAATCCACTGTTGATGGGCACATAGGTTGATCTTATCTTTGTCATTGTAAATAGCATTGTGATGAACATAAGTGTGCATGTGTGTTTTTGGTAGAAGGATATATTTTATTTAGGATATGTATACCAGCAATGAGATTGTTGGGTAAATTGATAGTTCTGTTTTGAGTTATTTGAGAAATCTCCAAACTGCTTTCCATGGCAGCTGAACTAATTTACATTACCACCAACAGTTTAAGAGTTCCCTTTTCCCTCTAGCCTCACCAGCATTGTTTTTGTTTGTTGTTGCTGACTTTTTAATAATAGCCATTGACTGGTGTAAGGTGGTATCTTATAATTGTTTTGATTTGCATTCCTCTGATTAGTGATGTTGAGCGTTTTTTCAGATGTTTGGCAGCTGCTTGTGTGTCTTCTTTTGGGAATTTCCTGTTCATGTCTTTTTCTCACTTTTTAATGGGGTTATTTGGTTTTTGCTTGTCAAATTGTTTTTTTGTTGTTGTTGTTTGAGATGGAGTCTTGCTCTGTCACCCAGGCTAGAGTACAGTGGCTCAATTTCAGCTCATTGCAAACTTTGCCTCTTGGGTTCAAACAATTATCCTGCCTCAGCCTCCCAAGTAGCTGGGACTACAGGTGCATGCCACCTTGCCTGGCTAATTTTTTGTAATTTAGTAGAGATAGGGTTTCACCATGTTAGCCAAAGTGCTCTCTATCTCCTGACCTCATGATCTGCCCACCTCAGCCTCCCAAAGTGCTGGGATTAGTTTAATTGATGCTGGAAATTAGACCTTTGTCAGATGCATCATTTGAGAATATTTTCTTCCATCATCTAGGTTGTCAGTTTACTCTGTTGATAATTTCTTTTGCTGTACAGACACTTTTTAGTTTAATATTCGATCTCACACATCAATTTTTGTTTTTGTTGCAATTACTTTTGAGGAGTTTGTCATAAATTCTTTCCCAAGGCCAAGTCTAGAATGGTATTTCTGAGATTTTTTTCTAGGATTCTTTTGGTTTGAGGTCTTACATTTAAATCTTTAATCTATCTTGAGTTAATTTTTGTATATGGTGAAAAGTAAGGGTTCAATTTCATTCTTCTGCATATGGATAGCAAGTTATCCCAGCACCATTTATTGGATAGGGAATCCTTTCCCCATTGCTTATTATTAGCTTTTTTCAGTAGGGATAGGGTCTTGCCATGCTGCTCAGGCTGGTCTCGAACTCTGGGCTCAAGTGATTCTCTTGCCTCGGCCTCCCAAAATGTCAGAATTACAGGTGAGAGCCACCATGCCCGGCCCTCTATTGCTTATTTTGGTTGACATTATCAAAGATCAGATGGTCGTAGATGTGCAGCTTTAGTTCCAGGCTCTCTATTCTGTTTCACTGATCAATGTTTCTGTTTTGTACCAGTACCATGCTGTCTTGATTTCTGGAGTCCTGTAGTATAGTTTGTAGTCAGGTAATATGATGCCTTCAGCTTTATTATTTTTGTTTAGAATTGCTTTGGTTATTTGGGCTCTTTTTTTGTTTCATGTGAATTTTAGAATACTTTTTTCTAATGCTAAGAAAAATGACATGGGTAGTTTGATAGAATTTGCATCGAATCTGTACATTGTTTTGGGCAGTTTGGTCATTTTAGTGATATTGATTCTTCCAATCCATGAGCATGGAATGTTTTCCAGTAGTTTGTGTCATTTATGATTCCAGTGAAATATTTTAAATATGTATGCTAATTATTGATGGAACAGACATTTTTGAAGGCTGTATAATCATAGTCAAAATAAAGACTAAAGACCAAATCCAAAACTCTGTGTGTGTGTGTGTGTGTGTGTGTGTGTGTGTGTGTGTGTGTGTTAGTGGTGGTAGTTCAGGCACTGGAGAGAAAGGGGCTTAGACAATGAGAAAGATGATACAGTAGGTGACAAAGAATGATTGTTCATAATGTTAATCCTAGATTTCTTGTTTGACTATAGCTTCAACCTGAGATTTCTCAATTTGTGATTCAGACAAGCAGTGTGACACAGTAGAAATAGGCCTGAAATCACAGGAATCTAGTTTCCAGTCACTGTTCTCAGTGATTAGTAATATGATATTTGACATGTCATTTCACCTCCTGGGTGTTCTCAGGGGTGAAAAGAGGTGGTTGGGCATGACTGCTCAAGTCCCTTCAAGTTCTTAAAGACTGAATTTTTAAAAGGAGAGTGACCAAATTTACTGTGGTGTGGATATTGGGTTTGGGACCAATCTGAAGCTTGTAATTAAAGAAGAGTTCAGGAAGAACTATGTTATTTATTTTTTATGGACATTTGAAATATTTCTACCTCAACTTGTGTCTTAGTAAGCTGTATTCGCAATAATGCTATATACTAGCTACTGCAAAATTTAGTGGCTTCTAACAAAAAAAATCATGTTTCTCACTTGTGCTTCTGTAGGTTGACTGAAGTTTGGCTAATGTAGACTAGACTTGACTCCAGGCTGTGGGTAGCTTTGAGTGTCTCTATGGAGCCAGTGAACTATCCTGGGTATGTGGACTGACTCAGAGCTATATAGACTTGCAGAGGGCAAGTCCAGTTGTTCAGGCAAATTTCACTTTTTCCACCTAGGTTGTCTTTGCTAATATCCAATTGACTAATGTAAATAATATCACCAACTACAAAGTTAAGGGGCTCAGTAGTACACTACATGTATCATAAGACCATGGCAAAGGTACAGATGTGTAGCACTACCAGAGGAGAGTAAAGAATTGGGACCAATAATTAATATTTATGGCAATGTGACATATATGTATGTGGATGTGTAATGGAACAAGGAAAGCAAACCAGGCTTCTGGTGGGTTGAGTGAGAGAACAGCATAGGTTTGAGGGGGGAAGGATCTAGGCTCTCTAACTCTATGTCCATAATTGACTAACATGTATAGATCTAGTGAACTCACTAGTGTATTCACTAGTGAACTAGTTCCTTGTACTCTGATTCAGTGATGCTTCTAATGAATTTCCACAGAAAAACTATTCTTTTCAAAGTTGATGATGACCTCCATATTACCAAACCCCATAATCAATTCTCAATTCCCACATTATTTAACCTATCCATGGCATCTGATCCAGTTGAACACTGTCTTCCAAGTACACTTTTTCACTTGGCTTTACTTCTGCTTTAAGACCATTGCTTAGAACTAGTGACATGGGTCCATCCAACTTCAAGGAAAGCTAGCAAATTAAGGGAGCTGCAGGTATCCAGGGAGCACCGACTGCTTCTAGCACATACTCTGAAGGATTCTCTGAGCCTGCTTTATTTCCCTTAGTTCCATAATTTTGGTGTGTGCCTCCTGGCATCTTGCCTATGTATTGATAACGTTCTCTAAAGGTAAGAATTCTCTGAAGAATATGTAGATAAAATGGTCCTAAAGGGAACAGAGAAGGAAGAAGAAAGAAGCAGGGGACACATATATGATACTCACACTGTTTACTAGCTGATGATCTCAGTAGATTATTTAACCGCTTTGTGCTTCAATTACCTTATCTGTAAAGATAGGGGTGATAATAATAGCATCTCCCTGATAGGATTGTTTTGAGGACAATTTTAATGTACATGAGACACTTAGAACAGTGCCTGGAACATGAAGAACACAGTAAGTTCTAGCTATTACTATTTCATGAATTGAACAATTAAATTCTGAATAATAGAGAACTGAAAATAAAAGTGATTGTAAATTTATAAAATTTTAAATCATCTCCTGTATAAACCCTGGCCTAATGAGGAAGGTTCTCTTTTTAATATGTTTTATTACAAGGATTATGGAAACACATAAAAAAATAATCACAGAATGTGTTCCCTCCCTGCACATGTGGCACTTTGGCTGGAGGTAAACATCTTTTTTTTTTTTTTTTTGAAAAGCTGAACAAGAGCAAGGCAATAGAACAAATGAGTAGGGGGCACTTAGGATTGTTTTGGAATTGTACACCATATTGCTTTATTGGAACTCTCATTCAGTATCTAGGGACTGTGTGATGAGGGTCTC